GGTAGTTTACAGAGTCAGCCTATTTCCCCCAACAGTCTGGGTCCTTGTTTTACTGGAAGGATGGAAGGCTGCGTCAACCTTGATCCAATCAGGATTGAGCTCCTGGCTGTGGGCAGAGTTAGCCTGCAATGCAATGCGCCACCATGCTATAATTAGAAATACAAAGCAATATTGTTTTCAAGTGTCGCAACAACCACAGTGCCAAGAATAGGGAGAGTGCATGGTAAATATCTTCCATGTGAATTTGGCTGTTACCAGAAATGTTCTACAGTTGACTGGATATGAACACCTGTCCTGAGGCTAGAATTCAGGGAGAAAGAACACATTCTGCTGATGTACCATCAACATCTCTTCATGAGTTTGAGCTCGAGTACTTTAGTGGACTGCGTATGATCTATCAATGTAGCACTTTGAAAGCATTACTGAAATCAAATCAGTAATTATCAGAGACAGCCAATATGATAAGACTTATCAATTAGAATAAACAATTAATAAAAGTTCCTGTCTAATCTGGAAAAAATATTTCTTTATTATCCTGAGTAAGGTAAGATCTAATATTTTAAAGCCTTATGTTAAGAGAAACCCAGACTTTAGATAAGGTACTCTTTCCTCAGATTCTTCTTCCTTAATTTGTATATATTTAGTGTGATCACAACAGCGTGTCTGGCTCTAGTTTTTATGTTATGATGCAAATTCTGCTAACCTCAGGAATATTCATTGGGAGAATTAAAAAAAAAATGTTTAAAGCTTTTTCTGGAATGTCCCAAAGCTGCTTTTCAAGAGGCAATTGGAGTTTCTTTGTTTTTCCTTGAAAACATTTCGCTTCTCAGAACTGAAGCAGCCTCTTGGTTGAGAAATGAAACGTCTTCAAGAAAAAAACAAAGAGTTGCCTCTTTGGGACAACTAGGACCTAGATGAATGAGAATCTCCACAGACTTTTTCCTGAATGGAATAAAAGAATTTGACCTTTTTCTAGTCATCTCTAAACCAACGTAAGCTAATTATTTTTCAACCACCCTTCCCCAACATATCTCTGTACTGTCTCTATTTTGAGGAAGGCCAAAATAAACTGAAGGACTGCAGAGAATTGAAAATGGTATAGCGCTTTTTCATGCTGATAAACAGAAAACTGTTGGGAGTGCATAGGGGCAGGAAAGAAGATTTAATCTAATAAAACCAGTGACTTTTATTATCTGTGGTTCTGTTACCCGCAGTCTCACATGGTTGGTGTGATACTGACCTCATTTTCTGCAGTAAGTGTTACATGTATCTGCATTTTTGGGGTGCACAGTTCTGTTTCAAGGAAAACATAGGGAATGTCCTGTAAGTATTTTATTCAAGGCACAAAATGGCTCGGTTACTGATTAAACCTTATGTTTTCTATTCTATTCTTGGACATCACCAATCCTGGCCCATAAATAGCAACCACTTTGCTTTTACCTTGATTTACAACAATCAAAGACTTTATAATAATATCAATAATTTTATTATAAAGTTTTTGATTGTTGTAGATCACCCAGAGTCTTTAAGAATTGGGCACCAAACAAACAAAATTTAATAAATTATTACATGTGGGGTAATCTATGGTTAGATTCACTGTCTGGTGGAAACTTAATAATTCAAGCCCTAACCAAAGACATAAGAATTACTAAGGTAGTATCTAAGAATATAGGCAGTTCCAAGTAGGATGGGTTTTTTTGTAATACTAGGGTTGTGAGATCTGGTAAATTAAATATTTCTAGATATTAAGGGAGTCCTTTAGATATTGCTCCAAGAGTCCCAGTCATGATAGTTACATGATTGCTACGATACAGATTTTTTTTCCATAGCTATTCAACTTCAGATTATCCCAAAGGTGTTTTTTTCCAAAAGGCAACTGGACTTTCTTGGTTTTTTTTTTTAAATGTTTCACTTCTCATCCAGAAGCTTCTTCAGTTCTAACTAGATCTGCAAGTCCCAATATTTCATATATATTTTGGAATTGTTTTTCCTCCATCCTAGCATCATCCACAATAGCAGCAACTTTCTTCATTTCAGTAATTGTTATATTTGGCATGTTCTGAAGAAGTTGCCCGCCTGTTTTGGATCTTAAAAGTCCCAGAAAATTTTAACCCGCTCATTTTCTCAAAACTTTTCAACTTGATGATCCCAGTAGTTTTTACAAATCCAAACTTCTTGCAAAGTTTACAGGGAATAATTCTGGAAACGTAACCATGATGCTGCTTGAGGTCAGATTGAGAACTTTTGCTGCAGCCACTGATGAAACGGTCAGTTGTTTCATTCTTTTCACTAAAGGCAGAATTTGCAATGGTATGTTAGATGCTGAATGTTCACCTTCATGCAATTAGTTGGCTTGTTCTTGAGCTACTAAAGTAAAACCTTCAGTTTCTTTCTTTAACACTCCTGGCCTTAATGAACATGGTGTTGGTTTTTAATCTTATTTTCCATCTATATTCTTCAAGTATTAATAGAGTAACAGAGTCCAATCTTTTCTTAAAAACCTCCAGTGATGGAGGACCTACCACCAAGCTTTTTCATTGATTAATTATCCTCACAGTCAGGAAATTTCTCCTTATTTCTAGGTTGGTTATTCCCTTGATTAGTTTCCATCCATTGCTTCTTTTACTACCTTCTGGTGCTTTGGAGAATAGGTTTCCTGACGCCCGTGCAAAATTCGCAGCAGATTTTTTTTTTCTTTGTGTCCTGATAGAGAAACATCTGTCACTACCTAGGATTGAACTCTCAATCTCCCGAGGGTGAGGCAAGCTTCTTCATCTCTAGGCCCCTGTACCACTTGTGTTTGTTTGTGTACGTATGTAAACCTTGGAAGCAAAAGCTCTTCGACCATGCATTGGCTTGTTCTTCCAATTAACAAATTGGTTTTCAATTTTTTCTTTCCTATATTTAGCCTTTACCTTTGTGGTTTTCCAGTGCTTTTTCTTGATTGACTTCCTTCGTCAAAAGTTTTTGGCTTGTCTTAATGTAGTCATTCAGGCCAAGGCATTACAGGTGGTCCTTGGCTAAGCACTATGATTGTAAAGTAGGATGTCAGGTGATAGCAGCACTTAATAATAACTGGCACTCCTGGCTGTGTTCATTAACCGAATCCTCTTCTCCCCCGCTATCCCCGTCTGCAGTCATTAGGCAAGGAGCCATTCTGACTGGATCTTTTCAGACCCATGCCTTGGTAAAAGTAAGATACTATTTATATGTCTAATTTAGGTAACTGCCCATCTCATCCTATTTTGGGCTTTAAGTTATAGAGTATACATGCTCAGCATATAATACAAATGTATTTGCTTCTATTTAGACCATCCACAAATTATATAAGTTGATATTTAACTTTAAGATATGAAGCAGGAGTGCCTCTCTTTAGCTTTTATTCTTTGGTAATTTGGGGAAGCAAGGAACTATATAAGAAGTGAAAAGCTCAGGCACCATCAGCCATTATTATCATTATTATGATATCATTATTATGATTATTATCCTTTATTATGATGATGATGATTATTTTGATGTTTGGCATGTATACTTGGAGTTTATGTACCAGATGCAAATTCCTTGTGTGTCCAATCACACTTGGCCAATAAAGACCTGTTCTGTTCTGTTCTGTTCTATTGTATTCCATTCCCACCCCTGTTAGTGTGATGTAGGATTTTCTAAATGTTGTTTTGTTTTAATTGTAAGTGCATACCTGAAAGTGAGGTTTGGCTGCTTTATTTTCTAATCCTTGGAAAAAAGTGAATTTCTCTCTCATTGTGCATTCATAAAGCAGTATTAAAATGTCCGTTTTCTCCTTCGCTCTCCATTCTGAGTCCCCTGTACAACTGAAATAAGAAAAAACTCCTTTGTTAAATGTTTTAAGAAGATTAAGATTGACCTTTTTAATATTGCTCTTAGCTTAGCTTATTTTATAACTCTTTAACACACACTGTGTCTTCAGAAAGTTGCATACTTGTCAGTTGTATATAAAATTATTTTGTATCATGATGCATTATTTTGTATCATGATATATTTTAGGAGACATCATCCAGTGGAAAATGTGAATTGGGAGATTGTTACTTTCCTATGATCACAAAAACGCAGGAGTTTTATATATGCTTATTTCCAGTTTATTTCTGAAATGCACAGGGATTACTTGAAAATAGGCATGGCTAGGATTGGGCCCAAAGCCTGATTTGCCCAAAGCCTGATTGCATAATTTATTTTCTATATGTTTTTTTATATAAATAACCATTGTATCATCCATATAAGTTAAAAGTTACTATAACTTTCAATAATAAAATCACTATTTAAATGTTAGAACAGAGGAACAGAATTTAACAACTTTAAAACTTGTGGACCTCATTTCATTACTTTTAATTTCTTTGGCATACAATTTTTATACCTTTTCTGTATTCTCCATAATATTATGTATTTACTACAATATTATACAAAATATGTAATGTATTCTTAGCTGGACAATGAACAACAGAAAAATGTCCAGTTTGCTCTGGTTTAAAACTCCTAAAAGCACTTTGACATTGAAAGGTGGGCTGCTTGATTATCTGACTTATAGACAGGAACGGTTCCAATCCAGTTTGTATCTGGAATTATGGTTTTAATTTGGGACATAAGCATTTCCAGAGGAGACTCCAAAACTACTTATTTGGAGTGATTCTGAACCTGTTATGGAAATACATAAAAGATTTAGTGAATTGCCTTCCACTCTAAACCAAAAAGATGTCTGCCATCTGTTAGAGTATTCTGTTCCATGGAGCTTCCGGCACAAGGTATCAACCCTTAACAGCTGTCCAGGCACTGTCCACTTTCAAGGTTGGTTTACTGCTATATGAAGTCTGGTAAGATTTTTAACCAATTTTTATAATGCACTTATTTTATAATTGTCTTATTTATGTTGTGGGCCATCTCAAGGTTTGTATGGAGACAACATATGAATTATGAATATGAAAATTCAGTAAACAATTCAAAATTCAAGGTGTGTTCTGTTTCATTTCAAGGGAACATGATAAAGATCCTGAAAGCTTCTTTAAAGTGCTGATGAAATTGAAAAAGATGGAACTGAATTTTCATGTCTCTGTCCTTGGAGAAGCCTTCACTGATGTTCCAGGTATTGTTGGGCTTAGTTTGTGAGATTATCTATCTATCTATCTATCTATCTATCTATCTATCTATCTATCTAT